AGGGGGGAGGGAGAGGAGGAGGAGGAGGGGAGGAGGAGGCGGATGAGAAGGGATGAGGTATGAGGGTGAGGATGGGGATGATGATGATTGAGGGGGGAGGAAGAGAGGAGGAGGCGGCGAAGGAATGTGAGGTAGGAATGGGAGAGGAGGAGGAGGAGAAGGAGGGGAAGGAGGAAGAGAACGAGGAGGAGGACGAGGAGGAGGGAAGGCGGAGGAGGACGATGCGGATGAGAAGGAGGATGAGGAGTCAGGAGTGAGGAGTGAGGAATGAGGAGTGAGGAGTGAGGAGTGAGGAGGAGAAGGGGGAGGAGGAAGAGGAGGAGGAGGAGGAGGAGGAGAGGAGAGGAGGGAGGAGGAGGAGGAGGAGGAGGCGGATGAGAAGGAGGATGAGGATGAGGATGAGGATGGGGATGATGATGATGAGGAGGAGGAGGAGGAAGAGGAGGAGGAGGAGAAGGAATGTGAGGAGGAATGGGAGAAGGAGGAGGAGCAGAAGGAGGAGAAGGAGGAAGAGAACGAGGAGGAGGACGAGGAGGAGGGAAGGCGGAGGAGGACGATGCGGATGAGAAGGAGGATGAGGAGTGAGGAGTGAGGAGTGAGGAATGAGGAGTGAGGAGAGGAGTGAGGAGGAGAAGGGGAGAAGGGGGAGGAGGAAGAGGAGGAGGAGGAGGAGGAGGAGGAGGAGGAGGAGAGATGGCAGCGTCCAGGGGACACTCATGCCCGGAGATGCCTGGTGCCAGGAGGTGGAGGAAGAGGAGTTCCTTAAGGGGTATGACGTATGAGGAGGAGGAGGAGGAGGAGGAAGAGGAGGAAACGGAGAAAGAGGAGGAGGAGGAGGAGTGAGGAGGAGGAGGAGAGGAGGAGGAGGAGGAGAAGGAGGAGAAGAAGGAGAGGAGAAGGAGGAGGGGTGGGAGGAGGAATGGGGTGAATAATGGGAGGAGGAGGAGGAGGACGAGGAGGAGGAGGAAAAGGAGAAGGAGGGGGAGGAGGAGGAGGAGGAGGAGGAGGAGGAGGAGGAGGAGGAGGAGGAGCCAGCTGGAACCGATACCTACTCGGATCGATTGGAACCTGCCAAGACTAGAACCATGCAAACAGGAACAAAAGCCTTAGGATATCTGCGCGGACGCCCCGAGGCGGCGCCAGAGGCGGCGCCAGAGGCGCCTCTGGGGGGGGAGGCCCAGCACCATTCTAAGAAATTCGTGCGGACCTCCGAATAGGCATGTTTCCGCAGCTCTCTTCTTCGAAGGACAAGGGCCTGATCTAGTGCCTGGCACGGGAGCCTCCAAACGGTTCTCCGTCCCCTCACTTCGCTGCGGCCTCCAAATTGGAAGGCAGAACAACCATCCGCACAACGAGCACGCAATAACAGTGAGGCCTTTTAGCACATGCTCCTGGATGGGTAATCGAGCAGGGCTGGACTGTTCAGTAAACGTCGAGAGCTGCTTGGTAAACGCTACTTATATGGGGGTCGTCGGTGGAGCATCGCTCTTTACCCACCCTCGTCGGACCTTTCCTCACGCTCTCTTGACCGATCGGGGATGGGCACGACCACCCAGCCAGCGCCTCCGCGGTCGTTTTCTCTCCGCCTGCTCGCTGCGAAGCGCCTCTAGCCACGAAGGGCACCGGAGGGATGCCAGAGGCAAGACAAGACAAAACAGCTCCCCTACCCGCCGGGGCGCGGTCCCACAAGGAACGGAGCGGTGGCGCCGTGGCGCCGGAAAGAATGGTAGCCTCAGGTGATGAAGAAGAAACCCTGGAGTGGGTAGTACATCTCGTCATCTTTGCGTGATGCGCCATTCGGGGCATGAGAATGTCACGCGCTCATCCGATGTATAATCATTTGTTGTTTTGCACCGCTTTCAGCAGAGAAGTACATATTGCATAAAACAGCCGCAAGAAGATATCAGATTTCGCCATTGGGTCGTAAGCACCCCCATGAAATTTGTCGCACGCCTGCCTCCATTCCAAAGTCCGGCATATATCTCCATAGTGGGCTTCGAACTCTCGCCTGGACAGTTAGTCTTCGGGTGATGAGGGCATGCCGCCAAAATTTTGCCATACTTTTGTGGAGCACCGGCCAAATTCTGCATTCCTCCATGCTCCACAGCGCCTGGCCGAGAAATTGTGTATATTATCTCTTTGCAGCTTGTGGCCGCAAATCTTTCCATTCGCCTTGCGCGGATTAGGCGGGTGGATAAATTCTCCCACGCACCAATGTAACATAGTATTTCGCATTCTGAGGGTGTCTGCTTTTGCTCCTGGTCCTCCTCGCTGCTGCTCTCGCCAGAAATCTCGGCCCAGGGCTCGAAATAAACCTCACGATGGCTAGACGTGTCCGGTCTCCTTCCCACATCGCTTGCTCGCTGTAAAAAACTCGCCCAATACTTCGTCCACTGATGGAGTCACTGGTGGTTCCGAACAAACAAAAATACGCTCCAATCTATCAATGCGGGTTGTGGCGTCATGCACTGCAGCTGCATCGCCGGGCTGTTCTGGCTCCCGTTCTTTTCGTTCCAGCAATATGTCTAAACGATGCTGAACCTGCACCACGTGGTTGAAAAGAAACTGTTGCATAAGTGTGATCTCGTGCATCATCCATTGCATCCCTCCCATCGTCTGCTGCATATTCTCGCAAGTAGTTGTCAACCCTCCTGTCGTAGCACTGATTTCTTTGATCTTGCTGTCAAACGTGTCGGTCTGCCGGGATACTGCACCATTTAGGTTGTACATCTGTTCGAAGATGCTGTCAGCCATCTTGCGTCTCTTTCGGTGGCATTGCGATGCCGATTCAGAATTGACAGCTGTTTCCAAATTTCTGAAGGGTACCATGTCGCTTCGGGGCCTCACTGCTTGCTGGGGCCTCATTGGATGGTTGCTTGAGCCAGAATGGCTTGAGCCAGAGGTGCCTCCAGCAAAAGGTGCCCCCAGCTTGTCGCGCCCGTTGAAGGGCCCCTGGGGCCATCTGGAGCCTCGCGAGATGTGCTCCGGAGGCCGAGATGGTCTCCCTGGGAATCCTGGGGACACGCTGGGCCAGGGACGCATGTGGCAACACCCGGCTATTCCCTTGCTGTAGAAACTTGCGATGGGAGCTGTTGCGGTTAGCAATGCATGTGCACATTGTTCCTCGATGGAAGGCGTCCTCATCCTCATCATCCCTCCTCATCCCCTCCCCCTCCCCCTATATGTGAAAGCACAGAATCCCCGCTGCTAGCAAATACAAGGGCACACTGTTCGTTGATATGAGGTGTCGGAGGTGACTCAAGAACTTCAGTGGCCGCTGGGAACCGCAAAATTCCCGCGGGGCACCTGCTGGCACGCTGGTTTCAGACACGACCCAGCAGATCGAACACTTTCAAAACGGACGATTGACCTCAATTCCAAAAGAACTTTTCCAAAGCAATATGCCTTCCCGTGGTGGAACCCCTAGTCGCAGAGACTCATGGTCACCGAGGATCAAGCGCAACCATCCTTCGCCCCGCCCTCGCATCCCACGCGCGCGTCCTCCCAGGAGAAGGAGCAGCCGAGGAGAAACGCCTGCATGTCGCTCCGCCACAGGTCTGAGATATTAGTCCTAGCTGCCGGGTGAAGCATGCCGAGGGAGAAGGAGGAGGAAGAGGAAGAGGATTGAATTGGACACGTCGAGAGCAAGGCTGGGCCATCCAGAAACGAAGGTTGGAGGGCAGACCCTGCACCGCTAAGCGGCACATGGCGGCTCTCTAATCAACATGCCAGAAGGCCCAACCCACAGAGAACAGCCACGAATAATCCCATGCTGTGCAAGGCTGGGGCTCTCAGGCGGCAGGCTACAACAACAAATCAATTGGTTGCCTACTCTACATTACAAGTTGCGCTGAACCAGCAGCTACGGTGATGCAACAAAAACTGTGATATTTGGACGAGGAGGAGGAGTAGGGAGGAACCTCTATGATTGAATCGGATTTACCACTCCTGGCGGCGAGACACTCAGGAGGCCCAACAAAAGAGAAGACGACAAAAGTATCGTCAAAACCCGCACCTCCGACGGAGTAACTTCTTTAATCTGCATGCCAGCCTGGCTGGGGCCTGCAAACGAGAACGCTGAAGTCAAAGAAGGGCCCCAGGACCGAAAGTAAAATCCGCCAGAGGTCTGCTGGGAATCCTTCGCCCGCTGATGGCCCCCCTCCAAACTTCTCCTCCAGTGCGACGACACGACGACAGCGGCGGCGGCGGCGAAGACGAAGACGACGACGGCGACTACGACAACGACGACGACGACGACGGCGACGACGACGGCGACGACGGCGACGACGGCGACGACGACGGCCACGGCGACGGCAATGGCGACGACGACAATGAGATGACGACGACAGCGACAGCCACGACGATGGCTGCCCCGGCACTGGCGGCACTCGTGGGTTGCCACAGAAGAAAGGCGGGAAAAGAGTCCTGAAGGAAACGGGTCCTGGACCCTGGGGCTATCCCTAGGCCGCCTTTTCATCCCAGGGCCCAGGGAGGGGCTCCTCAGGAGGGCGAAGACGGCGAAAGACTTCAAGGTTCCCTTCACTCGGGGCCGGCTTCCCTCATGGCGACATCTTTTCCGTGGTCTCCAGGGGCCTCTGGAAAAGTTTCCTTTACACTACAGTATCCAGGAATTTCTGGGGACCTCCGGAAGCAGAGTTACCCTGCGACGTACCCAACCCATCAACATCAAGTGACAAGAGGAGTTAGTCAAAACATGCACGGACAACGACAACACGCACACTAGCACAACGACAACAACGACACATGGTGCAAACTACATGGGGGACGCGCACGTAGCACAACTCACAGGACAACGATAGAAGGACAAGGAGTGATGCCCCAGTCTCGAAGGATAACCCTACCTATACGACCACCCTTCGGGTGATAAGGAGGCGAGGGGGGGGGAGAGGGACCAACGTCGCACTCGATCGATCTCACTATCGAACTCACTAAGATCTCACAATCGATCTCAATCGATCGATCTCACAATCGATCTGACT